ATAAACAAATACAACGTTGTAATGGGTACTTTTTATAGAGCACATCTTTAATTTTAGCCTTAATCTCCAGGATTTTATTTTCTGAAATTTCAACAAAGTTTAATTTTTTTTTTTTTATATAAGATGAATAAAAATTTTCAGACAAACTGTCATAAATCTACAGTATTTCACAATAAGTTCATATTAAAATCCTAAGGAAGAAATTATAAAATCTTGTAAAAAGTAAAAAAAAAAAAGTACTTATTAACATACTACATTAAAACAATACTACCCTGCCCTTGTACCCTTCAAACATTTACTATTTTTTTTTATTACAGCTGTTAAAGGCACACATTGGCATTCTATTAAACATGTTCCTTTGATGTACTTTCCGATACATGTTTAGATTTTTCAAATTCTACATGCATACGGGGAGTTTTTTCAGCTTCATAAGCCACACATTTCAAAATTTCAAGACCAATTGCCTTTGCCAATGGTGGAGGAACTGCATTTCCAATCTGTTGTATTGAAAAAATAATTATATTATTTTTCAGTCTTTACAAATTATCGATCATCAGAGCTTACACAGTAAGATACTTTTAATTTTAAGTTGTACATCTCAAGAAGTTCAAAAGCTGTTGGCTGTAGAGCTGCAAATACTCTATCAACCATTAAATGAAACCAGAGCTGTTAATTTTTTGCATAATCCAACTCTATTTCTGTACACACACAACACATATATATATCTTACGATGACAGAACTTCGTCGAAATGTTGTACATTTGCTATTATGTTAAACTTATATTAAAGTTTTTCTTCATTACCCATTCAAGCCGTCTCCAAGCATTATTAATCTTTTACAATTTTTTTCATATCAGGAAGCTGGTGAATAAATTGGATATGGTGGATAAAAGTTCTTCGTGCTTTCAAACCAGGAATAGGAAATCCAAAATAGATTCAGTGATAGTTTAAAATAAATACTCAAACTCCAGTAATAACACACTTATTGAGTATCAAAATGACAAAAGCTTATAGGTTAGGATTTAAAATTACACAAGAATTAAGCTTGTGGCTTTTGAGAGTATTAAATAAATAAACATTGCTTGAAGTGATTTTCTAGTAGAATTTTGTGCTAATATGAATAAGCAACTCTTACAAAATGTGAATGAAGCTGGAAGTGTATGTGAAATTCAGCATTCAGAGACTGCCACTTAGATATTAATTAATTTTTATATTAAGAAACTGACAGCAGCTTTCTAAATTATCCTCAGAATAAAGAGAAACTTTGTTTGTTCTGTGTTTAAGCACAAAACTCCACAATGGCCTATCTGCACTGTGCCCACCATGGTATAAAACCCATATTTTTATAAGTTCTCAAGTTTACTGCTGAAGCCACCAGGGCACGACTTGAAAAGTTATATTTATGCATTTCGAGCTGTCATCCAAAATTTCTATGCTTAATGTTATTTGGTTACTTCTTGTTTCAGCCATGTTCTTAATCAGTAGTAACCCATAACAATGGGCAAAGCAAAGTCCCTATATTTAGGGGTGCATGACTGAATTTTGCCAAAAAAATGGACATTGTCAGAGAGTGGAAAGTTGACTGAATACATTGTGTTTCTCTTTTTGCTTTATTTAAATAATAAATGATCCAATTAAGAATTTTATTATCTTTTGCCAGACTTTTAACAAATCCATCTAGTCATTTTCATTGTTTACCAAAAAATTTGCTGTAGCAAGAAAAGATTTTTTTCTCACAAAATCCCCACCCCCTCCCCCAAAAAAGGAAAAAATTGCCAACAGAATTCACACAAAATTGTATTTGCACTGACAAATGGAAAACTGTGAAAGGACACACACCTCCCAAATGTCACAACAAAATACATCTTAATATTACATTTTTCTTTCATTTTACTTCATATAAATTTACAAATCCTTTTTTTTTCCATCACTTTTTTTCTGTTTCAATCATCAAAAATATTTAATTTACCATGAAAGGGAAGATGGAATTTGACTGTCTATATATCAAATCAGAATAAAAGTTAGACTCTCAAAATATTATACATCCTTACTTTCCAATAACCTTACCCCGTCACCATAATCAATCTTTAAACAGGTCGTAGCAACTCAACCACTGGCAGCAAGAGAGTGGAGAATCAACCAACTTTCTGATTGTTTGTCAGAATATAGTTTTGTGACATCATTTATGTAAAAGCAAAATTCACCATAAGAATTATATGACCTCATACTATCTAATACTAAAATTATTTAATAATTATGATGTAATTTATTTTAATACTTCAAGATTATGACCTACTAAGATGATCTACCCCATCACAGGTGTGGTTTTAAACAACTTATGGCATATGGGCACGAAATATGAGTTTACGGAATTCCACATATGTTTAGCGACAGGTTTCATGAAATAAATGCAAGCAAAAATAACACATTATTTTAAACATTATTAGATGTTTGGAAGACGCTCACACTTTTAACAGAAGTTTAAGTATTTTCTTACTTTGCTTTAATATCCTAAAACTCATATCAACTTATAAAGATATTGCTTGGATAAAGTTAACATTCAGCGGTGTTCTATTTTATACTGTCTCCCGAAGGGACAGCTGTAACCATTTGGATTTACAATGATAAAATCAGGGGTTCAATTCCCCTCGGTGGACACGGTAAATAGCAGAAAAGACACACTGTTTTATATCTTACTATATGTCTCAACAATGTATAAAATATTTTTTTTTAATAAAAGACTATTAACAAATCTTCATATGCAATATTTATTGTTAATGAAGCAGGTTACAATAGTAAATAATAAACTCTACACTCATGATAAACCATCAGTTCATACTGCTCAACAACTGTACTTTAGCTGACTGATATACACTTCTGTGACCTAACATCTTATTCAATGACGAGGAACCCACTTTAAGACTAATAATGGCTGGAGACGGCTTGAATGGGTAATGAAGAAAAACTTTAATATAAGTTTAACATAACAGCAAATGTACAGCATTTAGACAAGGTTTTGTCATCAGGTTTCTGCCCATTCCAGTGTACCCATCAATAATACTCTGCCTACACAATCTATCAAAGTCTTTTATTTCATTATCGATGTACTTTATCACATAGCAATCTCCAATGTAAGTTTAATCATAAAAGAGTACACACTGACTGATGACTATTAGACCCCACATATACATTACAAGACACTCCACCTATTGTTATGTCCAAAAAAAGACTGGTTGTGTAATGTTAAGTCACAGAAATGTGGAGACACGTTCAAAACAACTGTTCTGCAAGACAAAGGGTAAGAGCACGGTCCATTTAAAATAAGAATGATGGTTGGTGCCCACTTAACAAGTCATTATCCCAAACCATTTTTTGGTATGGTTATTTAAAGAGATCTGTCATCACCCTTTATCTACAGAAGCATATTATACCATACAGAATACATTTCTAAAATCAGCACGTGAGCCAACAATCAGTCCAATTTCAGATAGAAACATGAAAGTATAACTTCAGTGTTTGAAGCACAAATTGTGGACAAATTATAACTGAAAGCAAGTAATGTGGCCCAATAAGCTGCATATCATCCTTTTGCATACTAACAGTAAAATTAAAATACTAAAAAAACAAAAATAATCACAAAAGTTTTGGTCTTGCTTGTGTTTGTTCTAACACTGAAAGTTGTTCGGAAGTGTTTTTGTTGCCAACATTGTGTTCTTTCAAGTTTGTGAGAAGGGTGAATAACATAGAGAGTATCTGGATGCTGTTGCTAACAATAATGCTAACACCTGTAAAATGAAAGCTATGGTTTAACATGACAGAACTCTCTTATCCTAAATTCCACTCTAATGAAACTAAACATATCTCCTCGTGCCTCTAATTAGAAAATAAACAAGAATTTTAAGTTGATCAAGACTCTTTGCAAGTTTCCAGTAACACCTTGAAATCAATGGCTGTTTTATGATAAAGACAGATGAAGAAATTGGAATCACAACAATCTCATTCAACCACAGGTTAGTCAAGTAGTTAGTCAATGAAGTTCCAGTAGATTTCTCATGATCTTGGAATCTGAAGTCGTACTGTATAGAATCTGTGGAAAGATTTTTTCCATGTGATCTAAGACTTCTTTCGTTTTCCTTCGCATATACATGCTAAAATGGTAATTGTGATATAAAAAATAACAAGTAATCATGGCCACAAGATTGAGCATGATCAACAATGGAGAAAATAGTTCCAAGAAAGGTGGTCCATCCCAATATTAAGTAGATGTCCTAATAAAGTACCCAGCCAGTTAAGACATACTTTTATGAGGTGAGTATCCAAGTACAAAAAGATTTTTTTGTCATGATGGAAACAGATCACATACATAACAGTTACATAGTTGGTAATTAATTTAAATGTTTAAATCATAAAAAAATTGCAATAACAAACTTAGTTTATTTAAGTTTGTTTCAGCATTTTCATGTAAAGCTACACAAAGGGTTATTTGCACAGATAGCCCGATATTTTGAAATGCTATACTTGAGGGAAGGCAACTAATCAACATGACCTACCACCAATTGTTAAATAATTAAATTGTGGTATTTGACCTTTACTATTATTATAGTGTACTCAGAGCCCAGAAGCAAGGAGTGAATTTTTGCAGCAATGGGTCATGAACCACAAACCAACATTCAGATTGACAGTCAAAGCATACTAACCATTAGATCACACCAAGTCCATTTATTTAAGTAAAATGTTTTTTAAAACAATCCATTCCTTTAGTACATTTATCTAACAAATATTTTTGTTACACTCATTTGTTTTTTTATCATTGTAACAGATCAGTACTGCAAGAATGTTTATGATACATTCATAGTAATTAATATATTTCTATACCTCTGGTATTACCAACTAATTCAACTTAATTTTGATCATCATCAACTGAAATATGTTATTTTACTTTAATAAAAAAAATATATTCTTCCCAAAACACAAAAAAAATCTATCAATAAATAGCAAACATTTTCTAAATTAACTCAACAAATAATAAATGAACAACTGATTTTGTTTAGCAGTAAAATATTTTCAGTATTAAAAGGTAAAACAACATAATTACCATATTTTTCGGAATATAAGACGCACCTTTATTTTGGGGGAAAAAAAGCTACAGTCGCATTTGAAAGATTTTTATTGAACAAAAATTCAATT